CTTTGGAGTTTTCATTAAAGATTAATAAATTTGTATTAATTTAGCAATTTACACACACTTACACACACCTATAACAGTGATTATATATGTATCTCACATACACATGTATGTACTGTTCTAATTTTTTATTCCTTTGGAGTTTTCATTAAAGAATAATAATTTTGTATTAAAACAAATTTTGCTTAAAACAATTATGATTTGTTCAACTTACATCCACTAACAGTGATTTCAACAGATTATTTTTACCAGGTTATACTATAGAGCAGTTAGCACATTCAACTCATTTGGTGTGGTAGAGCATACTCTTTTATCTGAACAAATTTCTTTTTGTTTTATGTTAATGGAAAATAGTTTATATCGGGCTTAAGTATTGTCCTTTTAGAAATTCTTTGCAGTGTAATCATGTAGCAGTACTTTGGGCTATACAGTAATTTATGTTTACAAACTGATCTTCAAAAAATAGTTACATTTAAAAATTATTTATTTATTTTTCTACAAAATAATGTAATTAATTTTTATTTTGTAAACAATCAAAAACTTTCTCAAAAAGCTAGTAAGGTTGATACCTTGGCATTTTCTTATAGGATGATAATGTTTAATGCATAATTCAGCTCTACTTAACTTATAATAGCTATGAAGACAGCTAAATTCTCTATTATTAATTTATTTTATACAATCATTTGTTAAATCTCTACAATTAAGTTTTATGAATACTTTACCAGTGACATTATAGATCTGTATTTTTGTAATCATAATTTGACATGGTATGTATTTTAAAGAATAATTATGAAGTTAAGTATGATATTTTGTACAACTGGTTTATAGTTTGATGGTTGGTGTCATTGTAAAGAAGGATATGGAGGGAGAACCTGTGCTGATTGTAAAGATAATTATTGGGGTGATCCAAAGACTAAGTGTATTCGTAAGTTTTATTTTTATATATATATATAGTGAAACATAATGTTACAGTCCAAGTTTATTCATGTTATGCATTAAAATGTTAATAGGCACATTAATGATTATTTCTACTTGATATTCAATGAGCAAATTATGACTGTATTAAAAGACAGATTGAACTTTTATGGATATTACTAGATGGATTTATTTGCGTACACTTCAACATAAGTTAAAATCTATAAATTCTCTATTTGCTGTTGTAATTCTCTATACATTTGAAGTTTTTATGACAAATTAAACATTCTTTATTATTTGAAAGATGGAAACATGCTTTCATTTTGATTGTAATTTTTCTTTTTAGTATTTTCATTCTGTTATCACAATAGCAAGGGTAAAGGTTGGTTACTTTATCACTAGATGATAAATAGGTTTAAAGATGTTTAGAAATATGTGGAAATAGAAAGCAGTATCTATATTTTGAATAATAATGATTACCATGTAAAATCAGCTCATTAAGGCAGTTCTTGAAGTTATTTGTATTGCTATAATTTTTATACAATGATATATGTAAAAACTTGTTTTTATGGATTATTTTCAAACTGAATAGATGTGGTATTCTGTATCAACATCACCAGTCCAGTAGACATGACAATGTTATGACAACTAAAAATACAACTGAAATCAAATATGTTTGTCTGTGTGTGTGTGATGTATTTTATGTTGTATGTAGTGGATTTTTATGAATTGTATGCATAGTTCTTGTTTAAGTGGAAGCTTAAGTACAAAATTCTCTATTTATGTGGTAGAGAACCAATGAAAGAAAAAGAATTAAAGAACATTAAGATGTTACTCAATGTTGAATGTTATTGTTTACAGCCTGTGATTGTGATTTTGAGGGAGTTGCCACTTTGCAGTGTAGAAGAAATGATGGAACATGCTTCTGTAAGAAGGGAATTGTGGGAAGGTACTGCGATCAATGTGCACGAGGATACACAGGAAAAGCTCCAGAGTGTGAACACTGTGGAGAGTGCTTTGAACAGTGGGAATGTAAGATAAAGGATTTGAAAAGTAAGTAGAATTTGTGCTTATGAAAATGTTAATGCATTCTGCAAGAAAAAATGTATTTTGTTTATGCAGTGACCATGATCATTCTCATTCAAGAGCACTGAGCTGGGATGAGTTTTTGCAAATCTCATATTATGGATATTATTGTTATTCTTCTACATGTTATTGAAAGCTGTTCGTGCCAAGTGTAACATAAGGTGCTATTTAGGTTAAAAATACCAATACCTTTTCAATATTCTAGGTACACTTAGCAATAATTTTTTTTCTTCACCATATGTACAACTTCATTGGGTGATATTTAGTACTGCTGACCTAACAAGATTGATTTGAGCTAATATGTACAATAATATAACTATAAGCTGCAGTCTCCAGGTTGATGTGAGATTTGTTACCAGCTTTCAATGTAATACATTTCATAATATATATTAAACTGTCTAATTTTTGTGATTTGTGTGCTGTTATAGTTCCATAGAGTTTACATACATTAATATACAATAGATTAATAATTTGCTGACTTCTCAATAGAAAATATTTAGACCATTACTTTTTGATACTTGGGAAACTAACTTTTCTAGTTCATTAATAGAATTCACATTTGAAATATTGCAGGCTTATTTAAAACTTAGTAACATTTTTATGCACATATTATGAAACTTGCATCAGAGTGTAATTGAAAGTGATGTCATTATGTATAAGTAAGATAATCATTACAGATAAAATAGTTGAGTGACTGTAGGCTTTGAAAAGTGTTAATAATGAAATTTCAGTTCTAGCTCTTTTGCCCATTTTATCAAGTGTTAAATGTTTTAGATCAGGCATTGACCTTAATTGAAAAGTTTAAGGAAGTGAATAACACAGGAACAACAGGTGTTTACACTGAGGAATTTGAAGAGATGCAGAAGAAACTAGATGAAATTCAGAAGATTTTAGCATCACAAAATGTTACAAGATTTGACACTAGTGAATTTCAAATCACATTACAATTTCTAAGGTAAGCTAATGATTCAGTAAAAGTACATTATTTTACAAAGAGATGGATAATATACTTAGGTTATGATTCAATAGTTGACAATTTTACTTGTAAGGAATTGGGACTTGAATAAATATAAATTATAGTGAATTATAACATAAGTCTTGGAGGATTGAAGAAGTGAAGTGAGGTCTAATTTATCTATGTATTTTCTTTTATTTCTCTGTGGGTACTATTGGTTTTCTTCTAGTCTGTCAGTTCACAATTAGGTATGACTACATAGCTCTTGTGCAGAAGTGTGTGAAAATTCTAAACAAACAAACAACAATGAGTTGCCTTGCACTTTAGCACTGCAATGGGTTTTTTCCTAGGCCTTGCTTATGAATGTTACTTTTTATGTACTTGGGATTAATAAGAAATTCCCAATTTTGGTTATTTAATTTGTTTATTGTGAATTCAAGATTTAATTTTACTGAATTTCAACCTGTTTCTTCTCATTAAGAGAAGTTAACCAGGCTTCTGATGAGTCAGGCTTTAAATTCAAGATCTTTATCATATGATAAATATTGTGTTTATTTCTATTTATGTTTCTGATGAAATTTGAAAGAGTTATCTAAATTTATTCCTTTAAACCATTGCAACACTTGGATGAACTCATTAAATGACAGTCCCTCATTGGATGCAGTTTTGGGCTTAATATTTTATTTGGAAGGAGTTAATGCTCAAATAAATAGTTTTTTTCAGGTTAACATGCATATTTGATTTAGGGGCTCTTGATCGAAAGCTTTGTATCCTTTTTATATTACTGAATACCTTGTTTGGAGCTTGATTTTTGTGCATAGCCTGGAGAAATTGATAAGTTTTCATTTCCCTTTTAGTGAATTTCTAACAATCTGGTTTTCTTTAATCAATATAGAATGATAATGAGTTTTATAATGGATAACTAACCAGATTTAAATTTTATGTCTTAGAACACTTTTGCTTATCTATGTTATTTGTTTTCAGCTGCGGGAATTTTTCTTAAGCTGAACTACTGCTTTATACGAACAGACTAATACTTTACAAGAGGATATTCCTCACTCTAAGGCTGCTTTACCAGGGCGTTTTCTTATGCTGTGGCTTTATTCTTTTGATCTTACATATAGGTTCATGGGCCAGAAAAGCCACACTGAGAGGAAAGTTTTTTTCCCCAAATTTTTCTCAGGGAACTATGCATAGTATGTGCAAAACATCACACTTTTCTTATAATGACTAGGGTATAACTTGTTGCAGGTTTCTTTATGGATGGTTCTGGTACCTTAATTTGACCCATATTTCTTTATTTTCCAATATCATTAGGTACAAGAAATATTCCCATCTTGGTAATTCTAAATCCTCACTCTGAACACATATTTATGATTTAAGTGTATGAATATTTTGCATTGGAAAGGGCTATTACATACTATTCCCAAAAGGAATCAGTTTTCACTGGCATCACAATATCTGCACAACCTCAAACAATGTCAAAATGATGCTTTGATACATGTGCTCCACTTGGAATTTATATTACTTGTGTTTGTCACGTAACTGACTAAACTGCATATTCAAAATTGTTTTAATATGAAACTCAACCCTCTCCCTAAGTCACCACTCAGGCCAGTAACCACCATTTTCCCCCTTTTACTCTAGTGACTTGATTAGCTACATGTAAGTGGGGCAGATTTTATAAAATTGTCTTTATGCACTTTCTTGATGTAAGAGGACCCATGGTTAGTTTTTCTTCAGTATTGGCCCATGCTGTTTTAAATTTTTTGAGATTTTCTACTGATACACTATCCAAAAGTCAGACTACTAGATTTAATACTATTTTTCCAATCATATCTTTCCTTCTTTGAAAAGTTACACACATTTTTCATTCCAGGAGCCCCTTCCCCTCTATTAAAATTAACCATTCATGAACCAGTATTTTGACTTCTAGTATATTCTCATGGTTTCTTATGCTGAGGAGTAATGTATGGTAAACTGGGAAATACTTTTGATCAATGGATGACCACTGTCTTAGACTCTTTTGATTTTACCTACTTACATTGAGCATTTGGAACTCCTTTAGGATTTTCCCTTCTGTTACTAGTCTATAATTCCTTCCTTCTACTAGCATATCATTTTCAAGTGATGCAATCAGGAAACTCTTTTGCTTTTGGAGAAAGAAGTTATTGTAGTAGTTTGGACTCAGATCTTTTGTATTTTTATGGTTTCTATATACATAGAGGCTGGAAATTGTTCAACAGTTGTTTGACCATTTACTGGTAAGTTTTTAAATAACCAGATTAGATATTACTTAAACTTACTTCCAAGTTCCAATTCTTCTGTCTTCATATCATCAATTGTCTTTTTTCCCTAGAGAATTGGGTTTTTAATTTCAGGCTCTTTTATCTGGTTTCACATCTACAACTTGCATTTTCACAAGAATTGTTGATATTTTAGCTTTCCATAAGCTTTGATTGAGCTCTGTGATACTTAGATAATTGTAGTTTTATCTCGCATGTGGTAAAATGTTCAGTGAAACGGCAATGTCATTAAATTAATGGAAATCAAATTCCTACTTCAACCATCTAATTTTTTATGCATATGGATTTCCTGATAGACTCCGAAGGTAGGCTACAAGTTTCACTTTGACTGTTGGTTAATTTCAAAGATTCTTTTGTTGGAGTTTCACTCTATATTTAGTTTGCTTAGTTGAGTCTTTGTTTGACTAGGACATTGATTACTGTAGCATCATATGTTCCCCTGCATTTTGTCTATGACATTCTCTGTAATAGAATTTATTTTACCTTTCGATAATTTCTTGAAACAGCACTTCCAATTAAGTATTGCTTTGGTTTGAAATTTTACTTTCCTTTTGCTGGTGGTTTGCACCAGTAATGGTATTTCATTAAGTTTCTCTCATAAGAATTTCTGTTGTTCACCAATATCTCTTAGATAGCCTGTGGAGTAGTTTTGAAAGAAGACATACTTCTCTGTTTATGGGCTGTTCTTGGGCATTGAATTGTTTGAGATGTGTGCTTCACACTCCTGAATGTCATCTGGAACTCAGTTGAGGTTTTTGGCTTTTCTTAAAAAATTATATATTTTGTTTACATTGAGTATTTACATGTTGAAAATATATTAAGTTTTTGCTATATATCTGCAATATGTTATTTTTATGGTGTAGCCTCAATATGACAACCAACGAAGCTCTATTAGAAAATGTAGATTCTGAAATAAATGGCACATTGCAGAGAATAAGTGATGCTACACACGCTTTAAATGACTTAAGAGGACGAGCTGGTATTCTGGAACTGAATGCAAGCATTTTAGAATACAATGCTACAAAGTTGCAGGAAGCTGTTGTTGAAGGTAAACAGTTAAAAACCTCATTCATTATTGGAGTTGTTTTATTTGTAATAAAATGGAAATCTTTGAAAATGTGTATTATCTAAATAAAATTAAGTTGAAAATAATATAGAAACAATTTATATGCCATTGTACTAATAAATTGAATTGGGAAATTTTGGAAATTCAGAAATAAACATTAATTTCAGAAAAAATTACAAGGTTTTAAATTTATCTTAGAGTTTCATATATTTATTTTTTTAAATCTGCTTCTATAAACTGTATTTTTGAGTTAATTTTCACTTTAAAGTGCTTCCATATTACTATTGTCACAAACATACAATTTTTTTGTTAGCCTGTTTTATTTTTGAAATTTTTGAACTTGTTTGTTCATACACTCACATATTACTCTTTTTTTTGTTTATTTTGTAAATAAAGGAGCTTTAAATATCACTAAAAAAGCTCAGAAAAGCTCTGATTTATCAGAGATCCAAGCCAAGGCTGCTCACAATATCCTTGATGAATCTGCTGAGTGGAGGAACAAAACTGAAGAATTGTTTAGGCAGAAAAAAAAAGATTTTAATAAAACATATGATGAAAACAAGGCAATTTTGGAAAATATTTCTGACCAAACATCAGTTATAGAGTCTGGAGTAGGAGAGATCAATAGATTAGTAAGATTTTCTTTTTTTAATTTAGAAAATTAAGTTTTTCAATGGCAGTAACATTATTAATTTCAATAAATACCCCCCCCCCCCAAAAAAAAATCTAAATTCATTAAAATTGCACTTAAGTAAACATCTTCTTCCTGAAATAATTAACTAAAATTAATAAATATTTTTGAAATAAAATTCCTAAGGTCAGAATTTATGTAATGCAATGATGTGGAATTTGATATTTTTATTTTTAGTTAGCATCAACATTCCTTGGATTATTAGTGACCACATATTTAACCATAAACTACTACATTAGTATCTATTAAACCAGCAGATACTGAGAGAAAGTGAATAGTATCATAATCATAGTATTTTTATGTTTTAGATGATAGGACTAAAAATGTCTGGAGCTGTTTAATGTATTTTTATGCCTATCATATTTTTATCCTATAGGTGTGTGATGGTGTTGGAACTGTGGATAAATGCGACCATGTATGTGGTGGTGCAGGATGTGATAAATGTGGAGGAATCAGCTGTAACAATGGAGCCATTACAGTAGCCAAAAATGCACTTGATTTAGCAGAAGAAGCTCAACAAAATATAGCTCGGAAAAAAGCAGCAGCAAAAAATCTATTAACCAAGGTTTGACACTTATGTTGCAGAATGTCAATTTCATGTTTATTCTGTGCATAGTGATGTTCAGTATGATTATGTGAATTCAGTTGGAAATTTGTCTAAATTATAAAGCCTTGAAAAACATTATTTAATAGATATTGATTACTTAGTATTTTTCTACAGTATGTTCAAGCTATAAAAACTAGGTTTGATGACTGATTTGATTCTTCAGCTTTGTTATTTAGTTTATTTTCAATGAAACTTTTAACATTCTATGATCTAAAAAAAAAAGGTCAAATTTCTTCAGGTAGTAACATAAGTTTTTATTTTAGATGAAGAACTTGAAAATGCTTGCAGATGAAGCATTGGATAAAAGCAGAGAAGCTGTTGAACAAACTAGTAATTTTCAACTTGAATCAGGAGATATTTCAGCAGAAATGATGGACTTACTGCTTCATGTTGAGAAGTTCCTTGATACTGAGGGACTTCAGTATGAAAAAATACAAGATTTATCTGATGAGGTAATGAACTTTTATTATTATTTAAAATGGCATACAATTTGTTAATTTTTGTGCCATATAGTTGGTTACAGGTTGTTTATGTGTGAAGTTTTTTGCCAGTAAAATCTAATATCTTTAATGAGTTTTTTAATGAATACATCTTGAAAGATGTATTTAATAAATATTCTAATATCAAAATATTTATGTACTAGCCCTGAAGAAGCTGCAAAGGTGAAACGTTAGTTAAAAATAAAAGTTCTCTTATAATTGTCTGGAGTGTAAAGGTGGCTTTTTTCTTCTAATTTTATTATCAAAACTTGAGAGATTTTGCTTTCAGGTAATTTAAATCTTGTTTAAAAGAGGTTTCATAATTGTTTCAATATGTTTGGAATGCAGTCATGAATGGTAGCAACAGAGTCAGTGCAGAGTAAACATTGACTATTTCATTTGTGATTCTTTTTGCTCCATTTTTAAACTTATGGCACATGTAAGCCAAATCTTTTTCTTCACTGACACTGGCTTACTTGTTTTTATGACATGGTAAGAGTATTTTTCTTTTAGGCTATATTTCTGAATAGTTTTATTAATATTAACTATCATTCATATGGTTATATTGTTTTGTGATCTTAATTTAGAGTTGTAGTTTTAATATAGGAATCAAAACAGAATCATAACCTGTACATGTTGAAATTATTTGGATAGAAATAATCTAAGATAAATTATTTTATTATTAATATAAAAAAGTGTTTTAGCAATATTTATAAATGTATTAATTGTTAGTAGAAAAACAGATAAAAAGAATGTATATAAAAAACTTTCCCAGCTAGATTTTTGTTAGGCATATCAATCTTCTGAATGAAATCTTAGCTCTCTATATATACACTGGTGTAGCAGATGGAAGTCTACTGTATTTATCCTTTTCAAAACGTTTAAGAAAAAATATTTATTCCATTATATTTGGTACTTTTTAAAAATGTTTGTACAGTCGTTCTTCATTTAACTGATATTTTTGTGAACAGAATGTGGATTAACTTGCATTAATCCTTGTTTTGCTTTGGGTTAGGAGTATTTACTACAATACCCCTATTTCATAAAGCTTATATAAAATAAATTATTTCTTGTATTATATGAGTTTGAAGAAATTTACTATAATATACAAATAATTGGGACAGTGTACTCTGAAAAAGATTGTATGTAACTAGTTATTCTTCTGTGCCCTTGCTTCCTTGGGATTTGGGTCATACTTAAATGGAGAGATGGTACAGTTGTTTTTTCCAAGTTATTATGAGCTTGGAGTGAAATTCCCCTTGAATATACCTAATAGATATGGTCTGGGATTGTGGAATTCTGTAATAAAACTTTTGTCTGACTTAATGGTGTAGTATACACAATTCTCTTGTCTTTTGTTGAGTGGAGATAATCCTGAATTTTCTTGTGTAGTGAAGATTTACTATTCTTTTTTTTTCTCCAGCAGCCAGATTGTTTAAACTAGCTAAGAAATTGGATAATATAATAACATCTCAGTACCTTAGTCATTTTATGAGCAAATATAGACTTTTGTTTCCCTTTTGTTTTCACACATGGGATTGAGTTTTTTTTCATTTTCTATATTTGTTCAGTTTATTCTGTGTAAAACATTTCCTGAATGTGCTGTTCATTGTGAATTTTGATATTTACCTGTTGGAGATCAGTGAGATTGAATAGTACACTATTATATGTAGTTATAGTGAAAAAATAGAAGAATTATAAACTATTGATTCTAATGTTTAAATCAAGCTGAAAGTATTCTGGCATGGAAGTTTGTAAGTGATATTACAGTCAAAAGAAAAATGATTGTGTAGTAAGATTACTAAACTTTTAAAATGCCTTTCTAATATTTGATATTTATCATCTATATATACATTTCTCATCATATTATAAGCATCAGATATAAAACTAGTTTGACATAAGCTTTAGATATAGTTATATGAAGAAAACATATCCAATAAATATCTCTTAAATTTATAGTTTTTCTTGCATAAAACACAGAGCTTTTGTACCTAAAGGTAATGAATTTGTTATGATATAGAGTATGTTAAATTCTAAAATCATTTCAATTGTAAAATGTATTGAGATGTTAGTTTTTACAGGCTTTGATGAAGTTAAGAACATTAGTAGATTACTGTATCTATCAGTATGAACTGTTGGTACATATACTGATTTAAAACAACTGTTTAAAAGTATAGTTTGGAGGCTATTATTATACAAAGTTTGATTATTAAACTAATATAGTTCTACACAACACCTGTAAATGGACTAACTGTAAATCAAGAAAACTGTTCTCAAGTAGAATGTTAAGATGGGTTACTCTAAAAAAGCATTTTAAACTACACAATCCATTCATTTGTGATAATACAATGAAAAAGCTTGGTTTAATTTTTAGAAACTCATAAGGGATCCTTTCTTGATAATTTATTTTACGAATAAATAATATGGAAGAAAACTTGAGATAAATGTGTAGTGGGTAAAAAAAAAATAATTACTTTTTTTTGACTGAAATAATTTTCAAATTGTGTTAACATTTTTCAGTGTCTTAACCTAAAAATGTCTCTTGGTCCAGAAGAAATTGAAAAACTAGCTCATGAGATCAAAGAGATTGTTAAGAATTTGACCAATATTGAAGAAATTTTCAACGCTACATCCCAGAAACATGAAGAAGTGAAAGAACTTGTTAACAGAGCAGTCATAATCAAGTAAGTGTTTTATTTTTACCTAAGAATAACATCTAAGACCAAAAAAAAAAAATAATAATTAAACTTTAAACTTTAAATTAATATAAAATCTGTCAGATTATTAGAAAAAATGAAGACGACTTATAAAGTGACCAGGAGAGTAAACAATAATTATTTTGACAGCTGTTTTTAGTAACAAAGAAAGTTGACATTCTTATAAGTTAATATAATATTTAAAGACTCATGCTACAAAAAATATTGTAGAATCTCTTTTGTAAAACATGAAAGAAAGAAAATAATCTTCCTGGTAGTCCATTTTTTTAGTAAAAAATAAATAAAAATGTCAATTTTATCCAACTACCAAGGATTAAAGTTTAGAAATTCAGACACAAATTTCCAAAACTTCATTTTTATGAAGGTGACAATAAATAAAGTTACCCAAAGTTGTAGTAGAAAAATTAACTTTTTATCAGAAATGATTTTGGCGTGCTATCTGTATTTGTAATTCATCTTCATCTCAATTATATTTATAGTTGCATTTCATAGATATGAATGAGTAAGTTTTAGTTGGTGAAAGTATAATTTACAAAAGTGACAATTCCATTGCAAAACTAAATTCTATTTTGAATTATAACTGCAAATTTATGTCATGAACAAGCTCCAGTTACTAATAAAGCAGGAATATTATTCATGATTACATGATACACTGGAAACCAATAATTATCTTAAAAAACATGTAAAAGAAAATTCAACTAGTTGCATCCTTTTTTAGAATTATATAAATTATCAAACATTGATAATTTAATACTTGTATTTTAATGCTTTTAGGTTTATCCATTTTGTTGATTAATTTTTCTTCCAAATTTTGAATTTAGATTTGAAACCAAAATTTTCTGTATGGTTTGTGTAGATTGAATTACCTTATTCTAATAGTCAACTTATTGAAGCTTTTGTTTTGTATACTAACTTTAGGTTCCACATCTCTGATATCATTAGTTTAATGAAATACATAAATGACTTCTCAGTTAATGTTACTTGTTGCAAGAGAGTGCATATTTAATATTTAAAGAAATTGTTTGTAATCATTTAAATAATTGGATATCAATATAGGATTTAAATAATTGAGTAAGTTTTGATCTGTTTTTCTCTCTAAACTATTGTACATGTGAATGTGTTGAGAAGTTTAAATCACTTTACTACAAGTTTTTATTTAATTACCTATTTATGTTTTTGGTTTTCATTCTGATATGAAGTTAGAGAGTATATGAGGATTTCTGTATGTTTAATATTATTCTGAAGCTAGTTAATAAACAGAATAACTCGTGCTTGTCCTTATTATCTTGAACGTATTAGCTTGTTTTTTTGTTTGCTTCTGTCAAGTAATAATGAGATATTTGTTATAGAAAAAATGCTGATGCTGTCTTAAAAGTAGCCAACAATGTGAATGTAAACCTTGAAGAAGCTAAAGAATCACAAGACCGTGCTGAAACAGCCATTGCTAGAACCAGAGAGTTCATCTCAATTGTAGATAGAGGTCTTAAAGAGGTGTATTAACTGCTCTAGCATTTTTTAAGTATATTAATAAAATATTAAAAATTTTATTTTGAGATTAATTGGAGATGTTTTACTGCTTATATGCAAACTTACTTATCAAAAGCATACTTTTTCATGAATAGATTTGTTACACAGATAAATGACAAATGAATTGAATATACTGTTAAATGAATTTTGAATTTTATAGTGCATCTTATGTACAGAGAAAGTAAAACTTTGATAAAATATTTTTTCTTATTATATTTTAGAGTAGCTTTGTTTTTGTAAATTTCACAAAACTCTATACTGAGCTACCAATAAGTTAGTTAATTTAAAGATTTAAAATGCTTATTGGAAATACATTATTTTGTATAATCTTTTCTTTTATGCCAGCCACACAACTTATAACTGAAATTGTTGAAGATGTGCAATTTATGTACAGTTGTGAGCATTACTCTGGTGTTCATTACCCTATTTTTTTAATGAATAGAAGCTGAAGAACAAGTGTATGAGACAAAGTTATTTTTTTTCCTCATTTGTAGATAGAAAATCAAACTCAAGAAGCAAAGGCCATAAGTGAGAATTCACTCAGGGAACTTGAAAAATTAGGGAAACAAAGTGGAAAACTCCAAGAAAAGTACTCAGAAAATAAACGTTCTTTAGATAAAGCTTTAAATGAAGCACAAAATTCCACAAAATTGGCAGTAAAAGCAGAAGAGGTAAATCCTTTGTTTGATTAATTTATTTTGGGCCACATAGAACATGGTAGAACATAACTAAACCTTAAGAATTCTACTTGGCAAGTAATAATGATTATAATGTCTTGTAACACATGTAAAATAGAGAAAGCTATACTTCATGCACAATTTAGTGTGAAATGTTATTGCAAATAACCTTTTCACTAATTCCCGTGTTTAAGGAACTACTATGAAAATTCTTTGGTACCTCAGGAAGAAATACAATTTCAGTAAAGCATTGTGTTTGATTTGAAAAATTATGAGAGTATGAACAAACAATATTTAAACTTTCTTTCTTCTTCTTCAATAAGCCAGTTTTTATATTTCAACAAGTTTATGAGTCACCTGTGAATCCCAAAACCTAAACTATCTGACTGTATGTGTCTGTTAACTGGTGAACCACTGGACCAATTATCATCAAAACTGGCATTGTCCTTGGGGTTCTTTGGGAAGTGACAAGGGGGTTGTCATTTGGATCCTACTTTCCTATGTCTTTTCTTCCCAATGCATTTAACAGGTACTTAAGTTAGTGATCCAATAAATGTCCAATACATAAGAAATAAATTTTGATTACTGTAATTTATTTTTCATGTTCAGACAGCAAAGAAATTTAATTATTCCAACTGTAGTCGTTCCTTTTTGTCTTTTCCAAATGCTGCAAGTTGAAAGGTACAATTATGGAAAGGGTATTTTGGGTTTGGCTTGTGTTCCAGTGAAGTAAATGTTTCCCTTAATGTTGAACTCAACAGCTATAAAACAAACATTAGATACTATGTGTAAACTATAACAATACATAACTATATTAAGCAAAATAATGTAAAATGGAAGAAGCACAATGTTTCAATAAAATTTGGAACTTTGTTCTTCATTGTATTTAAACTTAATAGCACAGTTATAATTCTTAAACTCTTTTGTAAAAAAAAAGGAAAGTAACAAAATTAGGATTACAGCAAAGCAATCTTTTATTAAAATGTAATGACTCTTACTACAACGTAAATGGAACAGACTGTGTATTTTGAGAGACAAATTTTGCTGTGATAAAACATTTTAAAAGATGTATGTTTGTAACTGTAAGATTAGAATCTATATAAATTTTTTGTTTCTCCTTTACAGTTAAATTACTTAGACTTATATCCTTTATAAATGGTTCGCTGCCAATATAAAAAGTCCTCATTATAAGTGGTGTATACAACAATTGAGATAATTTCTCATATTTTGGTTTGAATAGCAAAACTTTTACATTCCCCTTTTCTTATATGCTTGTGTGTTTAAAGATGCATTTATTAAGTAATCTTTTCAATAAGAAATTCCAAAATTTTATATGAAAAAGCAATATCTTTGTCAAACTTTGTTTTTTTTTATAGTTACTAAGCAACTTTTGTGACTATGATTGCTTAAAACTCTACTAACTGACCATTTTATTAGGACTCCATGCACATTTGTAGAAATTTGCATTTATTTATGAGTAAAATGGACTAAATGTATGATGTTCAGATGATTGTTTTAATCTAAATACAAAACTAAAGTCTTATCGTGATAAGAGCCAAACATTTCTCATCTTTCAAATGGACATGATATTTGGTTCCTGCCTAGTAGGAATATTCTTATCAAATATCTTTAATTTGACTAGCTCTTTAGGTACATCTGTAATCAAAGGTAGTGAAGGAAAATACATTTGTTACTAGAGAAGAAAACTGGCCAACAGCTGCTGGTAGAGCAGGAAAAAGACAATTGAACAATATTGTAAAATAAAACAAAATATCAGACTATATCCAAATTAACTGATTCCTTCAACAATGGTAAGCATTTGACTATCTTAACAATAGTATGTGAAGAACATTACAGAAACTGTCATGTGATAGCTGACAGCAAGTCAGAAAATTGCTTGTATCAGATGGAAAGAAAGTGTGAGTAATGAATCTGGTGAGTTACATTTTAGCCTTTCTATAATGACAATAGATAAGAATACGAAAAAAATTGCATCAGACACTTGACCCTGCTTGTGTTGTTCCAACAATCCAATCTGTTGAAGGTGGTTCAATGGTACATGTATGTAAAACTTTCTTGTAGCATGAGGTTCAGTCCACTGATTCCTTTAGAAATTGATATTCTGGAAATATTTTCAACCCCCCACAATGCTGTATTTTCTCTGTGATGAACAAGGGCTGTTGGCATTAGTTGAAATTGGTTCCAAGAGCAACGATAGTGGCTTCAGTTATCTTTGGCAAGCACAATCATTCAATTCCATTCTGACTTGAAAATCACTGTCTCTCCAAAGTAATTCTCTGTCAACACAGGAGTAAGTGTAGACCACATTCCTTAACAAATGTGCTTCAATCAAACAAGACACATTTTGGCATCTTTAGGAGTTTATGGCATATAGCATTTTGAGAGTTGACTGTTGTTGCATTCAAAACTATTCTAACCTGATATTAGTATGTGTTTGTAATAGTGTCCAATCTTTGTGACTACACATGACACAAAATACATCAGTTTTTACTGTAAAGCTTATGTAGTTATTAGTAACTGCAAAAGCTTGATAAAATCCCAAATGTTTTGTATATGGTGTTGTAATATTGATTGAGGTGATTAAATCGTTTTTCATTTGCCTGACTTTTGTTTAACTGTTATGCCATAAGGTACGAAATATGAATGCTACAATTGTTACATTTACTCCTATATTTTTATGCTTCACACAATATTAAAAAAATTAAACAGTTAACATATTTTTCTACATTACACTTATTTTTGTTTTATTTACAATTGTTTTTAATCACAGGATGCTCAGCTGTTAGAAAAGAAGTACAAAGAGACAGAGAATCTGCTGGGTCAGAAAGAAGTAGAAAGTAATGATATAAGATACCGTACACAAGAACTGAAGGAGAAAGCCATAAATCTAGTTGCACTTGCAACAAAAAGATATCATGACTTTAAAGGTATGAAACATTTTTCTCACTTGATTAATATTGTATGTAAAAAATAAGGTGTTTTTTGAAGAAAACATTTTGAGCTGAAAGCATAGACCTTGAGCAGGTGGATAGAGCCTGTTTGATATATTGTCCAAAAAAAGGTTTAAAATATTTCTTTTGAAACTTTTTTTTTGTTTAGTGTACTGATATTTATATTTTGTTTCATACTTAATTTTATTACATTCATTCTGAGAGAAAATAATGTATGTTGATGAATAGAATTATTTGAGAACAATATTTGTAAAAATCATGGCATAAAAAACTTATGAACATATTTTATGGTGCCATGAGGAACTTTGTGAATGGTATATCATGTTTTCCAAAACATACTTACCTTCTCTCTCACTACAGCTATTACTCAACTGCTAGGGTTTCTTTACCTTTGCCCATCTAAGCATTGGTCTGAGTTTTTCTTGCTTGTTCCAGTCTTTTATTCCCCACTTAATTGCCCTAGGTGATATCTCTCTCGTGACACGTTCTACCTGTGCCAATGCACTTTCTATCTTGGTACTGTATATATAAGCACCTCCTTCAGATAATATACACCTGGAAAAAAGTTAAGCACCCCCAAATATTTTTCAGGATTGCTTATTGAAAATAAGGTTTAATT